CCACTCTTCTAACTCTTCGTCTTTTGATATTGTGATTTGATATTTTGGTGCAAATTCAGTCCTGAAACGAATGAAATTGTAGGAAAATTTTGAATTACATGACTGAAATTGTAGTGAAATTTTAAATTACAGGAATTAATTTGCTAATTGAAAATATGGAAATTTGAAACTTTGTTGCAATTCCAGTGTTCAAATTACCGAAATTGTATCAATATATTAAAGTCTTCAAATTACCGAAATTGTATCAATATATTAAATCACAAACGACGAAATGTTGGAACCTTGAAATTAATATTGCAATTGCTTTATACCAAGACTTTAAAAATAAAAATGCATTTTTGTTTGGAATCAAGTAAAGCTCAAGTGATGATTATTGATTTAATCATTGTGTGTGGTAATCAAACATCTTGATTATATGTGTTACAATGGAAATTCAGAAAAAGAAAAAACTAAAAAAATATCACATCTTAAGGCAAGTTCATGTTACAAAACACTTGTGCAGCTAATTTCAAGTGAATTAAAGAACAATCATTGTCACAGATAAGCAGAGATTCTAACAATATTTTTCCATTGATAGTAATTAGCACCTCAGTTCTCTAGTTCACAAAAAAGGCATTCAAATTTCGCACAACAAGCAAATATAAAAAGTTTTAAAAGAGGCGACGAAAAAACGAGCTTCGTTTTCTGATACATTGTGTGCTAAATCCACCGAGGTTTTATAACCCTTCATCGCGTAAAGGATTTCAAATATCGAGCTGATCGAACTTGACGAGACTTCCAGAGTTCTGAATGAGTTCCTTTCTGGTATCAACCTGAAACCAGAAAATAAAAATAACAATTAAAAAAAAAAGCCTCAAAAAAAGAAAAAGGGCATATTTGGCATTAAGATTTGCTGTGATAGCCTCAAACAATTTATACAAAAGCCTCGAAAAGAACATCTTTTACGTACTCGGGATCCCATGAGAGACGAAAAGACAATATTAGCCTCGGCCACATCATCTACCCTTAATTGCTTTAGCAATCTCGTTTCTGGATTTAAGGTCGTTTCCCACAGCTGCGCAGGCATCATTTCCCCCAAGCCTGCATTTTTTTATTTTTTATTTTTTTTTCAATTAAAATGTCAATCAGACGTGTAATACAGGCCACGGATAGATTTTTTCCATTCAACGGAGGGGCATATATGAAAATTCAATTTATCAGCCACTCGTATCTTTTTTTTTTCCAGCGAAAACTCACCTTTAAACCTCTGAATGGTGTATGAGTTCGGAGAATTTTTACGTATAAGGTCGTTAAGGTCTTTGTCGTCATAACAATAATATGCTTTCTTGTGCGACTCAACCTGAATTATCAATTTGTAGTTATTAAATCGAAGCTCCGTGTTAAAAAAAAAAAAAATGGAAATCGCCTCAGCACCTTGTATAGAGGTGGGACCCCAACATAGATACAACCTTCATCGAACAAAGCTCTCTGCAGGTAATTTGTGTAAAATATAAACCATCAAAATCCATTCAAAATATAAATTAAAATTAAAA